ATCACACCATCTTCTACATGTGTCTTTGTAAAATTATGTATTGTATTCCATTTATTACTCCTCCATTACACCCAGAATTAGTATCTGGCCTTCCTTAGTTGCAAACTACATCCTTTTACCTTACTGTCTTTGTTCTGGCTTGTGAGAATTTTTCCAGGTAATTTTTACGTGTTCTGCATTTTCCAAAACCCTTTCTGACCACATGTGTGCAAACCTGACGAGATGAACATCAATTCTGTTTTAAGTCAGACTGACTTTTTGCAGCATGTGTTTTGTTAAGCTCCCTAACCACTGCAGCACTGTTTCACTGATCTGAATGCTTTCCTCTCCTACTAAGCGGGAGCTCAGTGTGTTTGTCTGTGCTTAGAATCTGTCTACAGAACAGACTCCAGGAAGGCCATTTTGTCTGGTTTTAAATAAGTTCTTAAAACCCTCTGTTTAGGCTGCTGTGCTTGGAGCTTTATGGGCTCCACCACTTATTGATTTCACAGAGGTGATCATTTTTGTATTGGACAATGTTTGTCTTCATCCTTCCTTTGATAAAAGTGATGCAGTGAATTGGGCCTGTCGTACTCATTTAGAAATAGTACTTTCAGTTTCTTACGTTAAAAACTGTCTGCTGATTCCAACCTTTGCTTCATGCGTTAGCCAGTCTGTAATTTAGACAGGCATTTTATTTTCCACTTTAGGATTTCTTGTTCAGCCTCAAAGGAACTGCTGTTTTTCTTCCATTGTGGTGGTTTGAAACCTGGTCTTCACATCCCCTGCTTCTCAGAACAGCTTTAACTGAGTGTCAGGATGCCATAGTCCCCCCCCAAATCCACAAGGGAAGACATAAAAGCAAGCACAATGCAGCGTCACTATCATCTTCCTAAGTCAGGAGTCTTGAGGCATATCTCTTGGGGCTGAAAGCTGACTCATGCACAGCTCAGTCAAGCATTAGCAGTTGTGTTTTGTGGCATTTTTCAGTTCTGTCAGTGCCACGGGTGTTCACCAGCACAGGGAGGTGCTGAGGGCTGCAGTTCTCCTAGGGGCTGAGGCTCCAACTGTTGTACACAGAAAGAGGAGATTCAGTGCCTTGTAGGAGGTTTATCACCTAATAGGAGATTAATATTTCATAATCAGGGGCCCCTCATATCCCATGTTTGAGACACTCTACTTTCTAATCAGATTTCAAGATCCTGAATTCAGCTTCAGAGGATAACTGCACTGTACTTACTATGTAAATATATTTCCAGTATAAAAATACAGAGTAAACAGAATTTAAAATACTTATGAGATAAGAAATAATACTAATAAGAGGATTGAGTATACTCATCTTCTTAGTTGACTGAGTTCTTTGTGCAACAGAATTCACAGTACTGTAGCAGACCAGAAACCATAAGGTTTTGCTTTTTTTTTTTTTTTTTTTTTTTTTCCCTAGGCAAAATAAAAGCCTTTGTATCTGGCACAGTAGCCATGTGCTCATGAAAATTGCAAGTTATAGCACTTGTATTATTTGGCAGCAAATTGTTGACAGAAGCTTTATATTGACCAGAGATCTTACAGTATGTAAGACTGATAGAAATAAAGTGGTCAGCATAACTTGAACTTTTTTAATTTTTGTCACTTAATCCAAAGTTTTTTGGAGGGCTTCATAACAGGTTGGATATGGAGTTATACTCTATAATACTATGGTATAGCTATATTGAACTGGATTCAGTGGCAGAGGACGATTACATCTGGAAGAACAGGTTCTAATGGACTTTGTTGCCTAGTGTATGTCACTTCAATTCCTTCTAGGAATTACAAAATACCTATTATGTGAAAATAAGTCAAAGAACGCAAACAGGCTACATATGCCCTAGACTGGCCTTCCAATACTTGAAGGGAACGTATGAACAGGAGGGATAACAGCTGTTCATGAGGGTGGATAGTGATAGGACAAGGGGAAGTGGTTTTAAACTGAGACAGGGGAGGTTTAGGTTGGATATTAGGAGGAAGTTTTTCACACAGAGGGTGGTGACGCACTGGAACAGGTTGCCCAAGGAGGCTGTGGATGCCCCATCCCTGGAGGCATTCAAGGCCAGGCTGGATGTGGCTCTGGGCAGCCTGGTCTGGTGGCTGGTGACCCTGCACATAGCAGAGGGGTTGAAACTAGATGATTGTTGTGGTCCTTTTCAACCCGGACCATTCTATGATTCTGTGATTAGCTGTAAATATTTTAGTCAGTCTGAAAATCATCCTTTAAAATACAATTTGGCTACCCAAAATGTAATGCCTGTGTAACAAGCAGGAAATCTGCTTCGCTTTATTAAACTATATAACAAACAACATGGGTTTTAGTTGTTAAATTATTATAAATAGCATAAATAATAAAAATTAGCAGATTTTCTCAAGTATTCTAGCTGATTATAGACAACCACCTATTTTGGCAGTTGTTCTGTTTCAAAGCAGTGCAAAGAATGAGAAACATGAAAAAGCTGTGATAATTTTTCAGATTTTGCCATCCCTTTGTTGATATTATATATGGATTTTTTTTTTTTAATGCAGTGGAAACCTTGTACTATGAGAGCATGGTGACTAGACAATAGGCAAAGCACTGCAGACAAAGGCAGGATGGCATGAGTAGAGGCAAATGTGGGGTTTGCCAGGTGTTCAGACCCATGTGTAAAGAACTTTGGTTCATTTGTGATTGTGGATTCATTTGTGATTGCAACAGTTAATTAGTGTTAATTATTATTAATAGTCTATAAACTTACCTGTAGATGCTTTCAACGCATATATAACCATGTATACTAGTTTAATATACAAAACACTTTCCAAAAAAAATCACATCTGTGTGAAGTCTTCATTATTATTCATTTCCTTGAAATTTTTTCCTCCAATTGAAGATTGAAATTGCTGTGGCTTGGTGTCTGTGCCATTAAAGATGTTATATATGCTGGCTAACACAGTTTGATTCCCTGTGGTAACCCTTGTTAGTACAGTTCAGTTCTTAGTTGTAGGTGGAAGTGGCCTAGGATTAAAAGAAGGAATTCAAAATTCCTCAAGAACTCTTCTTAGAGCAAGTGTGAAGATTTGATACCCATTTTTGAGAGAGCTATAAAATTGTAAATTCACAAATGCTTCAAGGATGTAAATGGCAAAGAAAAAAGATGAAATCCTGACAGAGTGATTGAGCTATTGACTTGCAGGAGAAATGAAGAAAAACAAGCAGTGGAAGCAGTCCTGTGTTGACTGCAAATAGACAAGTAGCTGTTTGTTATCATCCATCATCCTATTTATCCATGGTTTTGACATCTTCCTAACTAGTGAGAAGGGAGAAGTCTCTAACAACCATACTGGATCACAAGTCCTTCCATTTCTCTCGGGTATTGGATGTTTTGTAGCACTTGGCTCATCTTTTAGAGTAGATGAAGAAAATACCATGAACTATTTTATGGCTTCTTATTGTTAGAGATGTGTGTGATGTAATTGAGGTGATAGAACTAGCGCATAAATTCATTGGTCCTGTGTTTGAAATGCAAACCGTAATTGTTATCATTGAGGTGTATATTTTTTGCAAAGTTTGATTATGCTGTGTGCTGTATAACGCGATACTTTGTCATGTTCTAGCATCATTTGCAAAACATTTGCAAGTAAACTACCTTTTGCTTCAGCTGTGATTTGTTTGCTTTTATGTATTTTTTTTTTTTTGAAAAAAGCAAACCCATATCTGTCCCCTGAAAGTTACGTTTTTGCTTCTGCGTCTGAAAGTTACTCTGTGGCACATTTCAACTGTATCAAGTAATATTTATGTGGGAGTTAAAACAGCTGTGCAAATGCCTGTGGAAAATTCTATCTCTTCTCCCTAGAAATTTTACAGATGTCACTTGATGTACTATAAACCTACCTATTTTGTTTCTGAATTTGTTTAATTGTGGAAGAGAGAGCTTACATCTGTTGTTATCATTGAGGTGAAATGTCAGAGCATGGAGCTGTCAGTTCTTTCATGGTTTTCTGTTCCTAGTAGCTCACTAATTGAAATCTGTGCACCTACAAGAGGTACGGAAAGGTGCGGTAGCCAGAGGTGCTAATTTCCCTGACATATTTAGAGCTAATGAAGAATTTCCATAGAAGAATGTCTTAGAACAGAGAACAGTATAGGATAACCTTCATGCAAGCCAATGGGGCAAACGTGTTATGTTTGCAAAATGAATTTCCATTAAAAATTATATACCTGCAGAATACTTGTCATGAGTGATGACTATAAACTGGGAGTACTTATTAAGAAGGCTGGACTTTGGTTAGGTGAAGCTTGTCAGATGTAATGATATTTTGTCTTATGTAATCCTATTTTCTTGATGAGGTATTCTCTAATGCTGTTTGTAATGTTCAAGGAAACCTGAACTTACAATGTTCAAATCTCTTTTAAAGCTAGATTTTGTCTTTTTCCTATCTTAGTAAGAGTTGGCAAGACTGAGCCAGCTATTTGTACGGACAGACAGCAAAGATGATGAATAGCCCAGAAGTTTAGTTTTGTTTGAACAGCTGCAGTATTTACTTTAATATGGACTGAAATATCCATGACTGGGGTTATATTTGTTTTCCTGGATAGGCAAGATATCATTCTTCACTTGAGTGCAACGTCAAACATCAAAGAAAATGTAGAAAACAGAGCTTATAACCCTGTGTTAGTCTGCTACTAGGGGAAAAGAAGTCTGAGAAAGCTGGACAAGTTTTCCTGTGTACAGCGATAGAAGTTTTTCTACATCCTTGTTGGTGGTGTTAGATTCCATTGTTCTAAATTCTTGAAATTAGATTTCTCCCTGACCCAGCTTTCGTCCACCTGCTTTGACCCTTGAGATTGTGTTTTCATGACAAGTTTTTGTCCTCTCAGAACTGATAGTTAATACTTTTGCTTTTATTAAAGGACATTAAAAAAATTACACAGCCTGCATTGAATTGTGTTGCATTTGTTGAGACTCATAATCTGTTATCTGCATGTTATGTTAATCTTTTCTGTGTTGATTTTGCAGGATGCTGTACTTTCGATGAGCCATTTAGCACCTGTGGCTATAGTCAGTCAGATGATGATGATCTAAACTGGGACCAGGTGAACACGCTGACAAAACCCTCCTCAGATCAATGGATGCCTTCTGGTCGGTCTTTTATTTTGCTTTTTTCACATTGATGCTAGATTTTGTATTTATTTGGCATTACTTCACACTGTTAGTATTATAATGTGACTTTGTCAAAATCTTGTGAATTGTAGTACTCAAATCTTCAGAACAGCTCTTGTGAGGGATGTTCTGCAATGCAAAGGCTTTCTTTTGCAGTGCAGTTTCTAAAATAAAGGTTAGAAAGTAGGAATAGAAACTTTCTGTCATTGGGGAAAGCAGAAAGAATACAAAATGATGTCATGAAAAATGAAGATGAAGCAGTGCTAGAATGAGGCAGACAGGGCTATGTAATGGGGAGGCTTGAAGAGAAGGAACAGTGAGAGATAAAACAAAAATGGCCTGAGGGATTTTTGTTCAAAGTGATACTAATCAAACTCTGTTCTAAAATAGAAATGTAGAGTGAAAAGGAGTAAGAGAAAAAGGAACAGAGACATATACCAAAACAAACTGCCTTGGTAATATTCTTCTTGTTGTGTTTTGAAGACAGTTGTGATACTCTTATTTAATGCTCTTTGTGTACTGTGTGTAGGTGAACCTAATTCCATAGCAACAGCCTTTGCATTCTGATGAACTGTAAACTTGTTCTGGTAACACAGTCTTCTTTATCACCTCAATCATACAAATACAGAGCAATCTGACCACTGACTTGGAAATATTAAACCTAAAATCAGTTATTCTTTTCCAAATTTTATCTGGACATGTGAAGAATTCCCTATCATGGACAGGGGGCTGATATCTAGGATAATTCCATCTCCTGGGTGCTGATTGCTTCCAGTCCAGCTCAGAATCTTCCTTTGCATTTAGAGGCTGAGCCTAGTGTGACTCTTGTCACTATAAATGGCCAAAAAAAAAAAAAAAAAAAAAAAAAGGCTACCTTATAAAATCACTGGTTTTAGCTTCTAGGGACTTTTTCTGTATGTTATGTTGTGATTTTGCATGAATATACTGAAAATGCTCAAAAACTTCACAGATGGATGTGCTAATCATTTCATTAACATCCATTGCAATTAAATGACTTGTCATGATGTACTTTGGGCTTTACATAAAATCTCTTGAATAGTTGTCCTTCCAAAGAAAGTCTTCCTTCCTTCCTTCCTTTTGAGTAAGGAAATTAAGTTTTATTATTAGAATTTCACAGCATGAAACATTAGAAGTGACTGTGTAAACAATAGACACTAATCTAATCTACAATATGTGCTAATGAGCCTTAGATACCATTCACTTGTAAAAAGTCCTCTTAGCAGTTTCATTATAGGTTTATCACTGTTGCCTGGTGTTGTGGACAGTATTGTATCTGAAGTTGACAATTGAAGAGCTTCTTCCTTCTCCACTGAGCCTCCTGTGGGAAAGGTGAGGCTCTCCACTTGAACAGAAGTGTTTGGTTTGCCTGCACGCAGTTGACATGCTAGATTGAGTTCATAACACGGATAAAGAAGGCTCTTGCAGATTTCTTTTGAAACAGGCTCTCGTCCAGCAGTGTTGGCATGGACTGCAAAATTTTTTTTGGACTATTTCATCAGTGCTTAATACTGTCTCTCAAGTTAGAGCTCATGCACATAGTTATCAGTCATCTTAGCCTGCAGTACGAGCTATACACTCTTTTTCTCAATCACACCACTGGAAATTCTCTTTCTATTCCAATTTTCATTTACTTGGATTTTGCAAAAGAGGTTGTCAGTATGTGTTGTATATATTGTTTAGTCTTCGTGGCAGCTAGAAGAGGTTGAACTGTATGTCCTTTTCTCTGATGATCAGAGACTAAGATTTTTTTTCCACCGGAGGCAAGAGTTCAGCCAAAGTAAGGACTGCTATTTTTACGGAAGGAAAATTATGTCCATGTAATTTTATTTCTATTATGTCATATGGATTGTTTCTTATTTGCCTTTTAACTTTTATCAGAATACTAAAATCATGTTCTGTTGATTAAATAGAAAGATGGTAAAATTGGAAATAAATTATATTTAGAGCATAGGGAATTTCATTTCTGTCCATAAGGGAACTGAAAAATATGCTTTGGGAGTTTTAGGTCAGAAGATGAACATGTTAGTTTGATAAGGGTTGTTAATATTATTGCCCTAAAAGGTCAAAAATCCTCTTTGAGAAGGAAAGAAATGTTCATTACTATTTCTTTTTTTGTAAAGGAGAAGCATTTTTTTCTAAGGGTATGATTCAGTCAAGTAATATCTAATTTTTCTCTGTTTCATTCAGACAGTTTTTTTTTCCTGTTCTTGTTCAAATCATCATCTTAATGATTTTAATTAGCTTTCAGTTAACCTTAGCCAGAGAGTTATGTGATACACTAAAAAAAAAAAAAAAGATTCCAAGTAGTTTGTCAGCCGTTTCTGAGCTGCATATTTTAGGAAAAATAACAGCAAGATAACAGCAAATAGAATGTCTTAGATTACTGTTTCGTAGGGAATTCTTGGCTTGAAAACAAAATGCTTTATGCAACTGTATTGTAATGTTAGACTGAAACAAGTACTCCCAGTTCCAGAGTCCCTTGTCAGATGAAAGAATTAATGCACAAAACATTCCCAGTTCCCAAGAATGTATCAGTGACTGAGTTGGTATCAATATATACAGTATTTTATATAATTTGGTGACAGTGGGGGGCAAGAACACTAGTTATAGCATCTGATTTATTTTAATCCACATGGGATTGTTGAGGCGAGCTGTACTTTAGTTTGATAAATATTTTGGCTGTATATGTTTACTGCAGTGGGAAAGTAGTGTCATGTAGCATATGTGAATGTATTATTGTACACACTGTATATTTTATTGAATATTAATAGCTCTTTCTGAGGTGTAGTTTTGGATGAAAATTGGTGAATTATAAAAAAAATAATAAATTTTCAGTTTTTCTAAGTGTTCAGTATGTTGAGCTTTAATCCTTTTAAGATTATTACTCTGATAGAAATATATATTAGGTTATCCTTACTAAAGTAAGCAGGACATTAGCTCCCTAATTTTCTTGATAAGTATAGGCATGACCTTTATTGAGCACTGCTAGTCTGAAAATGTACCAAACAGAGCCAAGAAAGGAATGACATGTATATATATATGTTCCTATGGGTTGAATAAGGCTGGTTAATCTGCTCTTCTGTTTTAGTGGTCTTGTGAGTCAGCTGGACTAACTGCTGTGGGAAATTTGGCAGTTCCCTTCCCTCAGTTTGTCTTTCTTTGTTTTTTGGGGTTTTTTTTTTTCCTTTTTTTGTTTGTTTTTTTGTCTTTCTGTTTCAAGGATGTGTTTATGGTATTGTTCAAAAGTATAATCTGGAAACCCTTATTATTAATATTATCATACATTGTCCTGTAGAACAGTTAAAGCATGTCCAATAATGTTAATGTGTGCATACAATACAAATGAACAGTATCTAACTGGAAGCTTTCTAGCTGTAGACCAGTAAAGATGTCTTCATAAAGAAAAATATATCAAAATGGTAGATTACTGTATCTGTACAGGAAGGATTTGATAGCAGGAGATGTCTTCAGGGATGGCTTTGGGACAATTTCAGGGGGTATCTACAAACCGTGTCTTTGTATTTGGAAAGCAGTTGCAATGATCCCTTTTCCAAAGCTGCTTTAACTTTTTTTATTTCCTCTTGAGTTTCTCTTTCTGCCTTATGTTGACATCAGTGTGGATATACCTGTTTTACTTTCTCTGCAACACAGTAGCCAATCTTTATCATCTGAACTTTCAGGAAGAGATCTTGTTTTTTCTTCATATTGCCTCTTCATTGGAAAGGTGGTCCCTATATATTTGTGTTTATCTGTACTATGTCGTTGTTCTTAATACTTCAATTTGCCATTATGTCTGTAAAAAACAAAAATGCCTAAATCCCTTCCCATTGTTATTACTGTTTCATTATCTTATTTCGTTACTGTCTTATCTTCTTTTTGTAGAGTAGTTCTCATTCTGAGATCCTTCGATAATGTTAAAAAAAAAAAAAAAAAAAAGTGTCCACTGGAGTTTTTCTTCCTGCATTTCTATTTTTGGTTGATTCTCCAGATGGTAATTTCTTTCTCTGAATTTTTCCAGCTGCGCTCTCGCTCTGTAAGCCCATTTATGATCACATACAATCAAATTCATCATGGCCTAGCAGCATTTTGGAGTTGTGGTGTTCCCACAGGGTGCTCTTTTGCTTTACATGATAACTCAAAATGCATGCTGAGTGCGTGAGACTGCTGTAGAGATACCATCTCTGTTATCTGACAGTCAGTCAGAGTAGCACAGGTATATAAGTTTTGTCTTAGAAGGGGAGAAGAACCAAAAGCACTGGAGGTGTTGGATGAAGAGTGAAGGGAAAAATAAAACAAGTATGTGCAAGCTGGAGACTAAATAAGTACATAAATATATATGTATATATATGTACACATGTATGCATGCTTAGTTTGCAGATCACAGTTTACATGCCAGTTGTTCTCACTTAAGAGAATGAGAATGCAGGATCAGAGCTGTGGAACAGGTGACTGAATTAGATCTAATGGAGTTCTCAGCTCTTGCCCTATTCATTATCCAGAGAAAGCTCAGATGAGTTTAAAAACAAAAACAAAAACAAAAACCTACAGAACGACACCAAAACTGCTCCAAAGCAAAACACATCAAAAATGACAAGAATTGAAACTTAAAATCAGAAGGTATTTTTGAGATGTGTATTATGTTTATGTATGATGAGTCTTGTCACTGACAGTGATGCAAACAGAATCTCACAGATTACTGTGAGAAATGCAGATATTGTCGGTAGTCAGCTCTACACATTGTTTGCTGGAAATAGTTTCTGCTCATGTCCATGTATTAATTTTGTTGCAAAACTCTGTGTTCAGCTGTAAAATCCTCCTACAGTATTTCACAGTTCCAGTTAATTTCCAAGGAACAGTAGCATCATTTTTCTTCTATCTTCTATTCGTTTGATATCACCAGAAGGATGTCACTGCACTGACACTGAGTCACCGGCATCAGCCTTTCATTCAGTTTAGAA